GCAATTTAGTTTAAGTTTCTTGCTCAAATTCAGATTCTATTCAGGGTTAATTTTAGGTTCAGATTGAGGTTTGAATTTCAGGTTCGAAGTCAATGTGTGACGCAGTTTTAAGTCTAGATTGATATTTAGTTTCAGCGTCAGGTTACATATCTACAGGTACAGATCTTCATCATCAACAGCCTGTTCTCGCCCACTGCTGGACATAAGCCTCTCCAATGGCACGCCACTGAGCTCGGTCTTCAGCTCTACGCGTCCATCCACTACCAGCCACTTTACGTATATCGTCACTCCACCTAGCTGAAGGGCGCCCTACACTACGTTTGCCTAGACGCGGTCTCCACTCCAGAACACTTAATATTGTTGACTTCGAAGTATTTTAATCAAATATAAAGAAAGAAAAAGCATTTATTCGACAGTAGGCCCACACAGATACAAAAATAAAAAAGAAGAGAAGAAATAAATATGAGATGTTGCTTAGTAGGGGCTCCTGAACTGGACTATTAAATAATTAATACTAGCAGCATACTGCTAGAATTATGCTGTTAGTTAGGTAGGTATAAATCACATAGTCCTTTCAAAATTCTGGCGTTTTTGGAGATGTCCAGGGTACAGTATAAATAAAAGATAGTAGTTTATGATTATAATTATTTAATAGATATAAAAATATAACAGTATGACTACGCCTCACGTGGTCGGCCGCTCCGGGCGCGTGCTCTTTGGTAGAATGATGCACAGCAACCCGCTCGCTGTAACACACAGACAGACAAACGCTATTATAAAGGAATTCTTATCATTGTAATATTGGTTCCAAGATTTCCACTACTGAACATAGACCTTCTCCTAAAGGCTTCTAGATAAGCTGGTAATGCATTAAACTGTCAAACACCAAGCGGTCACCGGTGACCGCAACCTATTGTTCTATAATTGTGTCTATAATGACGGTACTCGACGAGTTAAAAGTGATGCAGGTGTTGTATTATTGTTGTATTCAGTTTGCACTCATGAATAACTTTAGCTTGCCAGGGGTAGGCAGAGGTTTTACACTTTAAAGTAATTATGTAGGAACACATTTTGCAAACACAAGACCCAATTATAAACTACGTGTTCCTTATCACCAGAGAATTTTTAAAATGTTATTAATATTTTGCCGAATTAGAACCCAGCTCAACGAGTTGAACAACAAGACGAACATGCCATTACATAAATAATATTACAAAAAATATACTGTAACTGTTGGCACAGATACTGGGCGATCATAAGACAGAAGCTACGTTCGATTTCCGGACAGATCTAATATTTTTAGAATACTAATTGTTCCGGGTTTGGCGTTTGTTTGAAGTAAGTAACTCTTGAAATTTATTTTATGCCAATTATAAATCAGTACATAAATAATTTAAAATTATTGCCTGCTTCGTTTGAATAGTCAAGATGGTCTCTGGCTTGATACTCTAGTCGAATTAAGAATTATTGAACGTTACGAAGTAACGCGGAATCAAACCATATTTATTTGCTCAAACATATGTGTACATATAATAAATAATCGCATACAAGGTAGCGGGTAACAGTGAATTAGAATAATGGTCAGTGTATGACAATATACTGGATCCATTTCACAAAGGACTCGTAACAAAACTGAAAAAACTGGAGTTAATACATACCTATGTCTCAAAGGACCGTAAACATCAAGTACCCTCAGTGGGGTCCCTAATCCCCGAATGCCCAACAATCCTCAAATTCCTAATACTCAAAATACATATACTCACTTATAAGCAACGTTCCGAACATGTATATAGGCACTATGCAGTACTCGTCCACTAGGGCGCCGAAGATCACGTTGCCCACTATGGCACCTATCCGCCCACACATCACTGTCACCGCCATAGCTGTGGCACTGAAACGTAAAAAGTTTGGGTTATCCATAAAGTTTGTAGCATCACTGTAACTACTAAAATCATCGTTAGAATTAATTATTCTATTTTTAAGCTTACTCACGTAATATTTGATGAGGAACTCGACTAGTTTCAAGCCATGCTCTCTAGCATGGCTTGAAACCTCTGCTCATATTCATGAGCAGCATTCCGCGACCTGCAACGCGGCGACTGTCGCGCTGCTACTGAATATAAGCCTCTAGCATGGCTTAGAACTAGTCGAGTTCCTCGTCGAATAATACGTAAAGAAACCGATAATAATCATATTTAATGAAGTGTCGCACGAAAGTTATAACATAAATCGTCGTTAACAGTAACATAAATAATTATTGCAAATGGTATTACAGAAACAAAGGTTTATCGCGAAAACTTACTACATTTGATATTTCCAAATTGCTGACCAATAACACTCAAACATAATTAAAGTATGCCTTGAGAATAAAGACAAAGAGAACAGTGTTGAAACAAATACTTTTTCAGACTTTATTTTCAATCCTCATATGTGAACTAAAGATACTATACTTGACTAATAAATATTTAAAACGTCTAACTTAAAACAGTTATTAAAAAAAATAATACTCACGCAACTTTAGTAGGAAATATCTCGCAGATGACACAGAACAGCACAGCTTCTGTGCAGCTGACGATGGCTTCGAACACACACGAGAGGATCAGGTTCTCCAGTGAGGATCTCACTAAGTTCAGACCCAGAGCTGCCAGCCCGGAACTGATCAACATCATTACTGGAGACAAAAGACGCATGTTAAAAATAATCAGATAGTTTTTTAAAGTATATAGAGTGAATAATAGGGTAGATGCCTAATTTTTATTTTAATGTCCGT